TACTTTTTGCAATTTATGATTTTTATTAATTAAAAAAAAAACTAATATGTCAGCAAAAGACCCGCTGGTATATTTATTTGTGTGAGGCAAAGAAGCAAATAATTTATACTGATGCAAACAAATGCATGTATGTTTATGGGCTATCAATATTTTTTGGAATTGTGGTACAAGCAGATATGAAATTAACCACAAAGTACATGTTTTACTTTTAGATATAATGTATTTATTTAAAAAATCATAATTTTTAAATCCCATGAACTACCGTAATGACATTTTCATAAACCACAAAAGTTTTAATCAAATTTTTTTTATCCAATTTCACAAAACTCCTTTTTTGTCAGTGGGAATCAATTTCATTGGCCTCCTTCCTATACTTTTGAAGTGTTTGCCTATACAAAATCTATTTCCCCCTTCCCATTCACTTTTTTAAAAGTTAAATAACTGAAGCTTGCAATATTGGTTTACCGTTAGGTGTCAGCAAATACCATTTAAATGGTTTAAGCTGTCCAGATGGTCTTAGAAGAGATATTTATAATTATCATAATTGATGACAACTACCTTTTCCTGTCAGACAAGATAAAGGGATAAATAGATCTAAGCGACACACTACATTTGTAAATGTATTACTTCGACCCTCTTAGAGGGTAGGAATGACCTTTACTGACAGGCATCAAACTGTCATTTATAACTATGTTAGCATCAAATTGGTTAAAATTTTACCATGATTCATCAAAATATACTTATCGTGATTCGTCAGAGTTCTCAAATCATTATCGGTTACCTTTATTTTTGGAAAGAATTTAACGTGATTCATCAAAATCAGTCGATTTTTTTATCATCATAAAGAAAATGTACATTTTATCATCATGCGCCAAAAATTACCATTAACGTCATTCGTCATGAAGGTACCCATTACGACCCTCCTCTTAGTCTTAAACACATAAAAAAGTGGAAACAATGCAAGACTCACATGCATTAAATTTGTCTATAAAAGAATTATCATAAAAATGTTAAAACTGTTTGTAACACTATGCTTTTTTTTTTAGATTGGATTGATTCATTGATTGATTGCTGTTTGCTTAACATCAAGTGACAATTGTTGCATATATATTTAGGACAAGAACAAACTAAAAAATCCAACAAATAGATATCATGGACCAAAATTAAATGTGGGAAATTTAGGCTGCCACTGGTAACAGAGGGTATGTTCGATCAGGGCAAAACATTTCCTTGCAACAGACCATCAATTGTTGGTCTCTGTCATTGTCTGTAACATGTAGTGAATGGGCACTCCCCCTGCAAGAAGCATCCTGTTTGACATCCCCCATCTCCATTCCAACCAATTGTGTCTGTGTACTTCCTGCACAAAGCCAAAAGAACACCTTTTTTTGGTATGGTTTATTTGGTTGAGAAAAGTTTGGGTGACCATATTTCTACAACAAAGCTAACCATTAAGGTACCAGTATGCTTTTTTAGTTAATGGGCCTTAACCCATAATCCTGTTCTTTCTCCAAATTAAAGGGCAGCAAGTGAATAACTGTCATTTTTCACTGTTAAAATTGTAAAGCTCAGTATGTACATGTAAATATTTTACCTGCAGTGAACACTAGCTGATCACCTTCCCCAAGATTTACATTCACCCCCAAGTCTCCTGGTCGAAGTGGTCCTGCCATATTTTTTTCAAATCTAACAAAAGAAAGAAATGTCACATATAAACATGATATTGTTGGTTAATACTTCAGAACTATTTAAGTACATTTACATGTACTATAATAAAATACACAAGTCGCTGGTTAATGGGGAAAGTAATATATGGTAAATACTTTTTAAAAAGACTTATGTTTTGATGCTGAAGACTGTAGAGTGATCTCTATATAAAAATAAGGAGAATTATTATGATTACGGTTTTATAGACTTAAGTGCTTTATATGATCTGATTTTCACAGTAATTTTTCTATTAAACTTTTGTTGTACTGCTGAGGGAGATAAAAAAAAAAAGAAGAGTGATGTCATAAGCCTAAATAAATGGGGAATGTGTCCATAGGACACAGATGATGCCCCTGCTTCCATATCATATAAAGCTATAAAGGGACATAACTGAAGAACAGTAAAAGTGACACTACCCAAATTTGTACTTGATCTGAGTTTTGTGGTAATAAGTATTGTGTATAAGTTTCATAACATTTGGTTGAGGCTAACTTAAGAGAACGGAAACGAAAAATTCAGCAATTTTTCCATTTGTAAAGGGGCATAACTCTATAACAGTAAAAGTTACACCACCAAAATTCAAACTTGATCTGTATTTTGTGGTAATAAGCATTTTGTATAAGTTTCATAACATTTGGTTGTGGCAAACTAAAGTTATAGAAAGGAAACCAACCTTGGGACGGACGGATGTACGTACGGACGGACAAGGGTAAAACTTAATGCCCCCTTCGCTACGGCGGGGGCATAAAAAAGTTAAAACCCCAACATTTTGATATGTGCCTGAACAAAGTCAGAACTTCAACCAGTAGTTAGCATCAGTTACTGTATATCTTAATTTGTTTATTTCTTATAAAGAATTTGGTGTTGATGGCAAATGCATGTACTTCGGTAATAATTATAGTGGAGGAATGATAAAAGTCGTTACCTGGTATTTGTTCCTTGAAATTGTGAATTCAAGGCCTTAAAAATTATATTAATAAGAAAACCTAACAACATGAACAAAAGGACAGAGAACATAAAGAGCATTCTATGATTTATTGTATCATACTTTCTGCAGGCTAGTTAAAAACCAATTTCAAGTTTTCGTGTAAAGACATCATAAACAATCTGAATATAGCACGACCTTGTTCAAAAAAAAAAAACATTAATGTATTGACAGGATGTACATTGATTGATTGATTGATTGGTGTTTAACGCCACTTTCAACACTATTGTGCTATTTCATGGCGGTCAGTTTTTATAGGTGGATGAAGCCGGAGTCCCCGGAGAAAACCATCGACCTTTGGTAGGAAAAGACAGGATGTACACCATAAGTATTCATATAGCACTATATTAAGTAATAATAATTTCATTCTTTAATTTCAAAATCAATGTTAGTAATAATAAACATGATAAACATAATTGTGAAAGATCTTACATTTTGTACTACAGCATTATCTTATCAATTTTCCAGGATTCAAAATTATATCAGACTCAAATAATTCCTTGTTTTTACCTTTTTAGTACATGTATGTCACTTTATTTTAAAACACTATAAATAAACTGCTTCGCTGAGCGCAGCTAGATACGCCCACAGAGGTCCAACCCTGAACAGTTGGGACAAAAATGGACACAATATTCAAGCTTGATTCAGGTCCAAATTTGGATTGTAATTAAATATTTAACATATTATTGGTTTCTGAATAAATGTAGTCAAAGATCTTGAAATTGGTTATATGAATTGAATTTATATTCAATTAAAGATTTCTTGCTGTTGTGCAATACTTAGTAAATCTGTTGTCAGACTATAAACAAATAAAGTTCAATTAATTCTCAATGTCATATTAGAAATTTATGAAAATAAAAAGGGAGCTTACATCAATAGATATAAACAATTCACCAAAGTTTCATGAGAATTGGTGACAGAATTTTTGAGGTTTTGTCCGAAAACTGGAAAATAACCCCTTTTTTTAATGAATAAAACCCCATAACTCAGAAATGTAAAATGTAAAATTTATAAAATTCTAAAGGGAGCTTACATCAATACATACAAACAATTCACCAAAGTTTCATTAGAATTGCTGAAAGCATTTTTGAGTTTTTGTCCGAAAACTGGAAAATCCCCCCTTTTTTCATGAATAAAACCCTGCAACTCGGAAACGTAAAATCTAAAATTTATAAAAATTGAAAGGGAGCTCATGTCAATAGATATAAACAATTCACCACAATTTCTTGCAAGTTGGTGAAAGTATTCTTGAATTATTGTCCAAAAACTGGAAAATCCTCCTTTTTTTAATGAATAAAACCCCATATCTCGGAAACGTAAAATCTAAATTTTATAAAAAACGAAAGGGAGCTCACGTCAATAGATATAAACAATTCACCAAAGTTTTATGCAAATTGGTTAAAGCATTTTTGAGTTAATGTCCGACATGTTGACGACGGACAGACGGACGGACGGACGGACAGACGGACAACGGTATACCATAATACGTCCCGTAAACGGGCGTATAAAAACTTATGATAATCATCTTTATACACTAACTAAAACACAATTAAACAATTATTCAATACAAACCTTTAAAAAGGGTGCGAAAGGTTTCTTTAGTAACTTGTGGTAACAAAATCCCTGACTAGAGCATACTGGTTTTATTGTAAAAACTGTGGGCTTTGAGCTATTTTTAAATTTAATATAAACTGAACATTTACATTGACACAGCTACACTAACCTATTATCTCATAGATAAGTCTCGCCTGTGTGACCGATTACAACCTAAACATCCGTTTATGCTGCAGATGCTTATGCTGAAAATGAGCACACCTAAGTCTTGCTTTAAAGACTATAGTTGTTGGTGAGACAAAAATGGTGCTAATTTTTGTACTTTTTATATTGTATCATTTGTTGTGTTGTGAAGTACAATATACATGTATGGAGGATTTGTATAGTATAGTTCACATTTGTTTGAGCTTCATATGGATTAGAACACCTCTAACATCCATACATGAGTATAAGGGTAGTAGTACAAATCCTTGAATGTATCTATAAAGGGTCCTCTATAAAGTGATGAGATAATTTTATGGTCTAAAAGATAATGTTTTCATTTGTTTCAAAGATAAACTAGATGAATTATGTGTGAAAGGTTTAGTACTCAGACTAAACTGAAGCATCTTACACACCAAGTAAAAGCATAAAGTACCTGACTATGACTATATTGAAATTGAAATTGAAACAACGCTGGTTTAGGTAAAACCCCAAATATATTTTTAGTAACAGGAAATGATCCATGTCCGATCCATGTTACACATCTTTAAACCGGGATTGTAAGGGGAACAACTCAAGATTTATTTCTGTCTGGAGACGTGGTAAGATAAGAAAGAAGCTTTATCTGATAGTTTAAGTAACATTAGATTAATAACATATCCTTATACAAATTTTAATAGCAGATGTATATGCATTAGTAAACGTTACACATCGTACCAATGTCATGAACTTTTTTTGGTAGTCTAAACAAAAATTGTTATCTCCACTGACACTGTATCAACAGGTCAGGAATAACCACCAATTGGTGGATTATACCTCAATTAACGTATAATCCACCAATTGACATATAATGGTATAGACCAATTGACGTATAATTCTTTGTTTTTCAAAGCAAATTATTCAACCAAAATGGAGCATTGTTTTCTTAAAACCATATTATTGTATGAAAACATGTCAAACATTCCTAGTTTAGTATAGTGACATAACATATTGCATTTAATCAATAATTGTATTTGCAGTTTCTTCTATTGTTATCTTGTCAATTCTTGATTGGCAAATTTATCACTTATCACCTGTCAATGGACATCAATACTGTCTGCAGTCATGTGATTATGAGTACAACTCCACAGGTGAATGAAGCTCTTTGTTAATACTTGACTTTCATTATTAAAAGTCAATCATGGTCAATAGTACAGATGTTTCATCAAAAGAATTGTTGTACACATGCATTCTCAAGAGATGCAGCAGGCTTTGACAAAACTGAAACTTTCGGAGGACTCAATAATGGTCATAAAATAGGTTGTAAGTTGCAAAATGATGCTCCTATCTCACACTAGCATTTTATAACAAAAAAACTTGCATTATACATCAATTGGTCTATACCAATATATGTCAATTGGTGGATTATACGTCAATTGAGGTATAATCCACCAATTGGTGGTTATTCCTGACCTGATCAAGACTATCAAGTGGTTTATTTTTACTTTTACCTTAAAGTTAACTTACTTTCTATAAATATAATTTGCCACTTAAATAAAATGTTGGCTAAGTCTGAAATGAATTACCATAAATTTGGAACAGTCTTCATAAACTGTTTAGAAATTTATCTAAAACTATATTTCGTTAATAGACCACTTTAGAGTTATGTCCTTCACCAGAAAATTTCGTCAATTATGCACGCCTTTATGACGTCATTTACCAGATAGAGGGGATTGCCTGTATCTCTGCACAATTAAAGTTCATCAAGCGTCATCATGATAGTTATTATGCAGGGTAAACTAGAAATAATGTTTGTTCCGTAGGTACTTAATCACAATTTAATGACATCAGTGCTGATTATCAATTATAAAAATTTAATTTGCCAAATAATTGGTGCACTATAGCATCATATTTTTTTCAACCGCTCGCTCAACATGGGAAGGAAGTGACGATGCCCCTAAACGCACAAATGATGTTCACTAAAACCAAAGTTTTTGACGGAAATGGAACGAACTCGAAAGTGGTCTATTGGTTTATATAGTTTGTGTTTGGCAAGTTGAGACCTATGAGGTAGGAAGGCGTCACAGAAAAAAAACTAAAATAGCCTTTTTTAAGACATCATAAATATTTGGACTAGTTAAGACCCTGTTTAAAGGGAGCATAAAGGGCTCATGTTAGTCGAATAATCCCCTTTCCCTTCCAGGGATTGTGTCTATTACTTTAAAATGTAATTGATTAAATTACAATTACTTTGCCAATTTAATGTAATCGATTAAATCACAATTACTATGCCAATTTAATGCAATCGATTAAATTACAATTACTTTGCCAATTTAATGTAATCAATTACATTACAATGACACCTAAATTTAAATGTAATTATTTTTACATTAGATTACTTTTACTTTGGATAACTTACGATTACATTGTATACTATGATATTAAAGAACTTTTTATAAACTTTTCTATCCTTACATAAAAAAAAAACTATTTTTTGTGAAAAACTGTGTTTTATTTAATAAAATAAATACATGCATCTTAAATACATTGTATTCATGTTATTAAGAACTTGGGACTTGGATCAGTGTAACATGTGTATTGTTTGATAGCATAGACAAGTGTCATTTCTCTGTAAAAGAAATAACATTATTTTTATAATTTTTTTAGCCCAGTTCAAATTTACAATTAAAAAAAAAGACCTAAACAAATAGCATGAATAATAAAAAAATCATAATTAAGTAGTTTTATTGTCTGTGGGGTCATAATTGACACATACTTATGTTTTACAAGTGACAATCACTGCTTCATTTTTTGGAAAAACAATAGATGAGCTTGGGTATTAAAATTAATTGTCTAAATTGCAATAATTAATTACATTATAAGTAGTTTATTTTCATTATGTCTATGAAAAATTCCAATACCTGATATTCTTAGAAAGCACATATCAAAATATTTATGGAAAACATAATTAATACAAATTGAAAAAAAAGAACTTGGTTCTACAATTTACATACATTGTACCATTATTATTTAAGTGTGCTCATTTATGTCAAAACTGGATTTAAATCCCCCAAATTAATGCTCTATGCTCTTGAATGTCCATGTAGTTAGAACAAAATTTTGTTTGAACTAAAATTGGAGTTAATATCAGAACTGTTCCTTCAGGGAACAAAAAATGTTTTCAAAACATATCCTTGTATCAGAAGGACCCAATCTCACAATGAAACATTTGGATATTAGTGATGTACATATGCTAAAACTTTTTCTTACTTGTTTATTCTTACTATACATGCTATAAGTTATTATATATATTTTTTTAAAGAAAAAACAAATTGAAATCTTTGGCTTCATACAGATTGACCAAGTTTTTGCCAACCCTGATTCTTAGCCACTTTAGACTTTTGATACCACGCCTACAGTGGCTGTAAAGCAACTGTTTGTAAATATTTTGATAATCGATTTGTGGTTCCCTTGTTTTCAGTTTTTCAATGGTTGAATTTAATTAAGATGTAAAATTTCCATGTCTACATGTATTCTTGTTATGCTATGATGACATGCCTGATACCTTTTTTTTGTGTTGTAGGTAATGGTAATGTGGGGTTGATATCTTTAATAATCTTATTAAACATTTGTTAAATACAACCCACATTCCTTTCAATTTATATTGATATTCATCTGAAATGCAGAAAATAGTCAATGGATAAAATTAAAATGCATGCTAACATCACCCTTCTTCTTTAATTTTTAGTGATCTATAGAACAAGATCAGTAAATCCATGATTAAGACCTGGGACTATTATACTAGTATAATAAACTAGTATAAATTAATAGTCCCAGTTAAGAATTGTATTCCCTGGATAAAGTTTTCAGAATTGAAAGAGATTTAAATATATATATATATATATTCACATTGCATATAAATAAGTCTAAATTGAAAACAACGTTCAAACCTATGATTGCATTGGATAAAAACTGCAATTTTTATACGTGTGCATGCAAAACAAATTTCTTGGTAGAGGGGTCTAAATACAGCACAAACAACATTTTCCAAAAGACCAAAAAAGTGAAAAAGTATATTTAAACAAAACGCATTTGACTAACAGGTCGAAGAACGGCTGTTCTTAAACCCTGCTGACTGCCATTGGCGATTGCCAAATAAACAGATCACAAGATGTAACAAAATGGACATTACATATATATACCTATATGTCTTTTCTTTTCCAATTTCTATAAATGAAAGGAGATGTATGTATATATGTCAATGAGGGTATGTGAGTCACCAAAAAGCCCATACCACCATCCCCCATCCAAAAAAAAAATTTATACAAGTGTACATAATAATGTACATGATATATGTATCCTTTTTAAAGAAATACACTATTTATGATTTTCATTGGTGAATAGAAATTAGCTGGTAGAGTTGGTTTTATTGTCGAGCCTGCGACTTTTGTCGCAGAAAGCTCGACATAGGGATAGCGATCCGGCGGCGGCGGCGGCGGCGGCGGCGGCGTTAGCTAACTTCTTAAAAGCTTTATATTTTATAAGATGGAAGACCTGGATGCTTCATACTTTGTATATGGATGCCTCATGTTACGAAGTTTCCGTCAGTCACATGTCCAATGTCCTTGACCTCATTTTCATGGTTCAGTGACTACTTGAAAAAAAAGTTCAGATTTTTTGTAATGTTAAATTCTCTCTTATTATAAGTAATAGGATAACTATATTTGGTATGTGCGTACCTTGCAAGGTCCTCATGCCCGTCAGACAGTTTTCACTTGACCTCGACCTCATTTCATGGATCAGTGAACAAGGTTAAGTTTTCGTGGTCAAGTCCATATCTCAGATACTATAAGCAATAGGTCTAGTATATTCGGTGTATGGAAGGACTGTAAGGTGTACATGTCCAACTGGCAGGTGTCATCTGACCTTGACCTCATTTTCATGGTTCAGTGGTTATAGTTAAGTTTTTGTGTTTTGGTCTGTTTTTCTTATACTGTATGCAATAGGTCTACTATATTTGGTGTATGGAATGATTGTAAGGTGTACATGTCTAGCTGGCAGGTGTCATCTGACCTTGACCTCATTTTCATGGTTCAGTGGTCAAAGTTAAGTTTTTGAGTTTTGGTCTTTCTTTCTAATACTGCATGCAATAGGTCAGCTATATTTGGTGTATAGAATGATTGTAAGGTGTACATGTCTAGCTGGCAGGTGTCATCTTACCTTGACCTCATTTTCATGGTTCAGTGGTCAAAGTTAAGTTTTTGAGTTTTGGTCTTTTTTTCTAATACTATATGCAATAGTTCAACTATATTTGGTGTATGGAAATATTTTATGATCTATATGTCAGTCACGCAGGTTTTATTTGACCTTGACCTCATTTTCAAGGTTCATTGCTCAGTGTTAAGTTTTTGTGTTTTCGTCTGTTTTTCTTAAACTATAAGCAATAGGTCAACTATATTTGTTGTATGGAAGAATTGTTAGCTGTACATGCCTGCCTAGCATGGTTCATCTGACCTTGACCTCATTTTCATGGTTCATTGGTCAATGTTTAGTTTACTTGGTAAATGTTAAGTTTATGTGACAGTTGTAATAAAGCTTTATATTTAGGACTATCAACATAATA